ATTCTTAGTATCTAGAGGTATATAGTGGGCTAGCTGGTGTCGTCGGCCTGAAGGGTTGTGGAGAAATCCAAATTGGTCGAGACCTGTTACGCCCTCCTTTGCTGAACTTGCAGCCTCCAGACTTTGGCTCTTACTGTCGTCGGTATTTGAACGAAAAAGCAGGAATAACTTGGGATCCTTCATCTCTACGGACTCTACCCTGACTGGTGTTCACAATCGCCACGCCGATACCAAGCGTTGAGAGACCCGAGACAATCTCAATTACTATAAGTCGCCAAAAGTCGTAAAGAGCGCTAACAGAGGATCTCTTTCCTTGAGGCGTTGGAAAAAACCCGAGAGCTTGCTACTAGTTCTGGCAATGACCAAAATCTGTACCTTCAGTACTTTACAATTCACGGGGAGAAGATACAAGTAATGATGTTTTATTCCTCCAACGTATCTGATAAATTAACATGCAAGTAAGGTAATATGAAGTGAGGAAAACGGGGAACGAGTTGTTGCCCCGTCTCTAAAATGCATAAGTTCGTGATGAGTGGGGTATGCGCATGAGTTGATAATGTTACTTCCTCCGAATTCTCCTTTGAGAACATCAAGAGATGTTTCATCCTTACAGAAGGAAAGAGAATGTTCCTTGGGAGAGTATCCCTGAAGGCAGGGCGAATAGGGTACAGCGTGGAGCTTCTCTCCTCGAATATCGCATCTATACCTTCCAGGTCTTCTTTTCCTTTGCAGTAAGGTGTCTCGCAATGATCAATAGAGCTCCACCCAGGAAGACGCAGGCCTAATGGATCGTCAATCAGCGAATGCTCATGGTGGATAGTAAAGTAAAAGAGGGGACGCACAGCTGAGAAAGCAATGGGCCTATTCCAGTGGAGATCGGTGGTCAAGAGGGCACCAGTGATGGGTGTACCCGCCAATCCTGCAAGAGAGAGGACAGAGAATGCCAATCCCATACGGATACTAGTGGAGAAATGTGAGGAGAAGTATACCACAAGGAAAAGAGTGAGAGTGCGTACCCAATTTCTGAGACATGTTTGGCAAGACTAGCGAACAACGGACTAATCAGCGAGATATCTAAAGAAAAGGTCAGCTCCTATGGTCCAAAGAGTGTGGTATCGTATAGACTTACAAGCTCCACTGAATAGACCATAGAGGACAGCGATGGCGATGATTCCAGCCGTATTGGTGGCGGCGAGCATGCAAATGCTGATGATCGCACATGCAAACGTACAAGTGATGAGCGCGTTGAATGGACCCCAGATATCACCAATAAAGTTGGGTACGATACGACCAATCTACGGGGTGGTGAGAAATGGGTTGGGGTAGAGTATTGGGCTACTTACGACGGAGGCACCGTTAAGAATGGTGATGGTGTAGAAGGCGAGATTCTTGTC